TTATATTGGAGTAATTTGGTTTGTTTGCTATTCTATACTGGCAAATTTGGCTTACTAAACATAGATCAGATCATGATTCAGAATATTGGTTAGTTTACCTACAGATGTCAACTAAACCTAGATTAATGGCTAGCTTACAATTACACAATTAGTTGTCAATTAGGCTTTCTATTATTTCCCCTTCATGGAGAGAATAGAAAAAAAGATGACAATCATTTATCCCTGCAAAGACAAATTCTGAATTTACATCTTGGTTTATATTTATATGCTCATTTTCCATGTATCAATTGACAACATCAAAACAAAGACTAATTAATATTATTTCATATTATTTTGACTGCAGCAAAAATTATATACGCACAAAATTGGAAACAAGAAGAGGTCCCGATTCAAGAGAAATTAATATCCAAAATTATGGAATGCGCTGAGATGGATAGACTTACCAAGGAGATCCAAGGAAAAGAAGAATCTGAATATTATCTTGTCTGGCAAAAATGGTATAAATGGTTAGAGGGAAGTGAAAAAAAAAGAGAAGAAGAAAGAAAGAAAAATTAAATAAAAGAAAAGATATCAATAGAGTAAAATAAATTTTTACATCAAATGAAATTTAAGAAAGAGACACGAGATATTAATAAAATAATATCATTATATAAGGTGAGAGAAATATTGTATATTGAAGAATATAGGATATTGATATTGTAACAATTCAGATATTATAGGTAGATGTTATTAAGATGATGCTTGTTGTAAATTGTTTTACTTGCATTTATAAATGTATTATGTGGTTTCTTAAATTAATAAAAGTTTAAAAATTTAAAAAAAAATTATTTCATAAGGTCACATTTAAACAAGTATTTAAAAATCTGACTGGATTATTGGTGGGTGGAAGTATCCATGCATGTTTTCTTTTTCTTCTCTTTTCCATCTATTTTTTCCCCTTTCTTCCTTAATTTTTCTCTATTAAAATGCTTCTGATCAGGTTTGATGCTGTTTAGCTTTCAAAGATAAGTCAGCAGCTGGCTATAAATTATAGAATTTAGTTCATTTACATCATGGGTGTCAAACTCGCCACATCACGTTGCCGTCATGTGACGTATCGCTATGCTTTTCCCTTCACAGAGCTGGGGTGAGTGTGGGGTGGGCACAGAGCTGGGGTGGGCGTGGCCTGCACATGGTGCATCTGGCCCACAGGCCGCCAGATTTATCAGGTATCTTATCAGGTATCTTCGTTACAAAAAGATATACTTACAGCAAATGGGAAAAAAAATAATAAAATGAGGGTCAAATCAATATGCCCAGAAGAAGCCTCCTAAAGGAAGCAAACTATCAATAGAATGGAGCCTAGGAGGAACAACATGAAGCTATTAAAATGAATGTTTTAGACACAGCTATTGGGAGTGGAATCTCTCCAGGGCAGAATTTTGTTGGAGGAATACTCAGAAAAATGTGGTGATAAAATTTTTGATTGTGACACGGTTCTAGGAATTATATTTGCCATTCTAAGAATTGCTTCTAAAGGATTTACCTGTATAGAAAAGGAAGGGAGGGAGGGAGGGAGGAAAAAGAAGGAAGGAAGGAAGGAAGGGAGGGAGGGAGGAAGGAAGGAAGGAAGGAAGGAAGGAAGGAAGGAAGGAAGGAAGGAAGGAAGGAAGGAAGGAAGGAAGGAAACAAATTTGGGTGCATACAGCTTTCCCAAGTGCCAAACTTTTCAGAAAGAATATTGAGTTTTATAGAGCTGTCAGTTATAAATATCTCACATTTTCACGCATAGAAGGGGTCTCCAGGGAAGAAAAGTGTATGACTTGGGTAATTCCAATTCTGAGACAAGGTTTACATACAGTGTCATGAAATAAGCAAGAAAACAAATCTGTCAAAGCTTGATGATGTTAAGTCTAGGGCACTGAATACAGCTGTATACACTGTGTGCAGATTGTGGAGGAAATGTGAAATGGAATTAACTAAGCAGCAGTGCTATTTATACAAACAGCAGATTAAATCTCAATGGGAGTGTTGAACTATGGCTAAAGGCAGGCATATATGCAGGGTAAATATTGTGGGAAAGGGAGAATTTGTTTAGAGTAGCCCAAGAGACAATAATGAGTAATGGGTCAAACAAAAAATATCATCTGTCTTCCATTTCCTATAAATTCCTGGCAATAAACTTGCGTAAGATCCTAATGCCTTACAATAGAAGAAAGGGTGTGTGTGATGGCTTCTGAGGGTTGATGTCTATTGTGGAACTAGCCTTATGGACACAGCTCCCATTGTGTAGAATGCAAAATGCCCTTGCAATTCTGGAACCACCAACCATGCAACTTTCCAAAACTAATAAAAACATAAGGAAGGAAAGGAAAAAAAAACCCCAGATATTTGTCATCTTATAAAAACTGTTCAACGTGTTTATTTTAAATCAACAAAAAGGGAGAATATCGTACTCTTTTTATTCAGTGGTTTGTGGCAAGATTTTGATGGGATGAACTTGGAGGGCAGTGGTGGGTTGCTCCCGGTTCGAACCGGTTCGCAAGAACTGGTAGTAAAACCAGTGGGAGGCTCCACCCACTGACCTGGACATCATCAGAAGTGATCTGTGCATGCGCAAAGCGCGCGCACACGATGCAAACTGGTAGTAAAGGTAAGTAGAACCCACTCCTGTTGGAGGGGCAATAAGATGTAGATCTCCAATGGCTCACTATGGACTAGATCAGTATTTCCCAACTTTGGAAACTCTAAGCTGATACTTCATCCCTTAGCAATGGATGATCTCCCCTAGCGGTTTCATGTAGGTGTAGGTCGCAGTTTGTATTAACCATATTTGTTGAGGAAATAGGTATAATACCTGGCTCTAACAGGCAGAGTCCACAAAGAGATTATGGGTTACATTATTAAGAGCCTTGGTGGCGCAGCAAACTAAAGTGCTGTTAAGTAGCACCAGCTGCCTGCAATTACTGCAAGTTCAATTCTCATAAGGTTCAAGGTTGACTCAGCCTTCCATCCTTCCGAGGTAGGTAAAATGAGGACCCGGTTTGTGGGGGCAATAAGCTGACTTTGTATAAAAAAGAACACCGCTTAGGGGGGCCCGAAAGCCCTACTAAGCAGGTATATACAAAAGTATGAAGGCTATTGCTTAACGCATTGTAAACTGCCCTGAGTCTCCAGAGAAGGGCAGCATATAAATCGAACCAATAAATAAATAAATAAATAAATAAATAAATAAATAAATAAATAAATAAATAAATAATATTGTATTCTAATGAAAGTGAAAATAATAGTTCCTGACCTCCGTTGGAGAATGTTGAACTGGGCTTCATGTTGAACTGATCCAGTGGTGAGTTGCTACCAGTTCTCCCCGGTTCGGGAGAGCCGGTAGCGGAAATGCTGATGTGAGAGCGAACCAGTTCACTCTGACCGTCAGCTGGACCGTCCCGCCCATCCCCGTGCTACACCTACCTTTATTCCTTCATTTTTAGCCCATCTGAAAGGCGTGGCAGAGGGGATTGCCATGCCTCACCTGTTTTGAAATCCAATGCGCTTGTGCGAAGCGATCGCACGCGAAGCGTGTGCGTGAAGCAAACCGATGCTAACACCGGTTAGAACCCACCACTGAACTGATCCTAGAGGCAATCAGCACTTCTATGTTCGATCAAATTTGCACCCAAATATTCCCACCCACCCCCTCCATCTGGGACTGGAAGCTAAGGATGATCCAGCTGGTTACTACTTGAATGAGAGATCTCCAGGGGTTATCAATGCTGTAGGTTGATTTGGAAATTAAAAAGAAAACCATCCTGAAAGGAGATGGCAAACAATTTCCATCTTGCTGACAACAAAACAAAACAAAGCATCACCCTTATGTCAGAGTTTCCTCAATCTCAGTAACCTTTAAAATGTGTGGATTTCAACTCCTACAATTCCCTATCCAGCATGCTCAGATGCTGAGACTGAGAAACCTTGGCCTATATGGACATCTGCATGAAGTCACTGGGAGCAAAGCTTATACTGAAGGAAACTTGATTTCACATTTTTGGCGTCTATATGTATTAACAAACAGATTAAAGATGGATAAGTAGATCTCTGATAGCTTGATGTCCAATTCCAATGCACCTAGACATAGACTGAATCTACTCTACAAGGAACCAAACATTCCAAATAATTCCAGAATATTAGTGGTGGTATTCCCTCCTCTTGTACTTTTTCCAGGGTCCCACATCAGGGGTGGGTTCTACTTACCTTTAATACCGGTTCTCAATAGGAGCGCACATGCGCTTGCTTTGCGCAGATCGTCATTTATGACGTCCAGGTGGGTGGGCGGAGCCTCCCACCGCTTTTACTACCAGTTCTAAAGAACCAGACAGAACCGGGAGCAACCTACCACTGTCCCACATATATCTTGAATTTAAGGGTACAAATTTAACCATCTGGCAGCTAGGCAGCAAATGGTATCTTTTTATTACTCACTTCCACACCAAGAGATACAATTTTACTCATTTCAGCTCCAGTGGCAATTCATGGCAAAGTGTCAACAAGATTCCCATAGGAGCAGAGTTTGTTAGTTTATGTGATGCTGCCAGGTGCAGGGCTATAACATGGAAGAACATAAATGATTTGGATGCAGTGGGTAACAGCAGCTTTTCATGAGAAACAGTTTATAGATATTAATTCAGCAAGGAAACTAGCACCATATTAATTAGATCTTATCTGGATGCTTCTCCAAGTTAAATGCATACATACATGCTTGAACACCTTGGCAGATGAGCCTTGAGAAAAAGTATTTATTTTTTACAAGGAAATCTCATGTTCCAAAGGCTGCATTTTACGTTTTGCTTTGCATCTTCCAAAACTTATCTCGGAACTTTATAAGGTCTCCAGGTTCTCAATTATTGAATACTCCAGCAGCAGTTTCTTACTGGTCTGCAAAACTGGAAAACTGCATATAAGTACTGGATGGCATCAAAGAGTTAGGGTTTGAAAAATGGGTAGCAACAAATAACAGGGAAATAAAATTCACACCATAAAATATTTATTATGAAACAAAAGATTTTTTTTTCACTTGTAAGAATCACTCAAATGCTCTTTTAAGAAATTTTTAAAAATTAAACCGAACATTAACAATATTTTACTTATTTTACATGACATATAAAACACCACATCACAAATCATTTTTATTACAACTCAAGAGCATTTCCCTGTATATACATACATACACATTATGTTATTCCCTTTCAGGATTGGTAAATTATGCAGAGCACAGAAAAGACCTTATAAATCAAAGAGACTAAAAGAATTACATAAAAAAAGGAAACACAACTAAAAAATAGCTTACACCAATACTATTTAATGTCTCCAACTGTTTGCATACCATTCTTGCTTGCTTTTTATATTCATACATTGCTTCATACATTGCCTTTTGTTCCTTATACGTCATGTTTTTCTGAAAATCTCAATTTAAACCTAAGACAATTTTGTAGGTCTTAGCCTTTCTCTCAACCAATCATTCTTACTTCACAGTTCATTCTGCAATTGCATCCTCATTAATTCTCACTATCTGTACATACTGTACCATCTCAATATACTACATTCATACTGGTCACTCACTTTCATAGTCAATAACATTCATTCATCACTCATACATTTTAATGTTTCTTTTTTTCTTGCTTTACCACATAGTTAAGTACATCATTCTTACTATATTGTGCATCCTTGAGGAAGTTTTTATTTTCTGCTTAATGTTGAACCATTTACTAAATTCCATTTATTCTCACACATGCTATTTTTCTATTGTATATCACTATTGTGACATTCAGAAGCAATTTCAATTCCATAATTCAAGCCTTTATCACGTTTAATCTAAATCAACAAATCTACAATGAACTTTTTCACATTCATACATTTCTCAATGAAAAGCATTTCTCCCAAGTAGTTGTAAATTAGTTTCTATAATACTTTCAATTTTAACTTACTTTTTTCCAAACAAGTAAACAAAACATTCACCTGATTTTCACCTAAGTTGCAGGACATGTGCAATGAATTTCAGGATGAGAAATTGCAGTTTTATGCACTAAGAAGGAAGCCCAACTGATGTCAAACTGGACTTACTTCTAATTCTGTATATAAAGGATTGCAGCCCAAGACCATCAACTTTCGTTTCAGCTAGGAAAATTTAAATCTACTTCTGAGGTGATAGTGAATATAATCCAGTTAGCTCCAAAGCACTTCATATTTTTAAGCCAAATTGATCTACTCAGACCAAAAAGGTCTTTTCAACTAAGAGCTAATTTATTAATCAAATACAATAATGTCACTGCTAATAAGTCTCTATAAGATATACTGTAACACTAGGGTGACGAGATATTGTAAGTGAGATCAGTTGGTACAGGGCAATATAGTTTTGATTTAATGCCATCAAAAATGTTTTTACATGGGTGTCTGTGGACTGTCACATTTTCATTGTAACATTTTTATATTGTTATTGTTAATTTCTAATTCTTCTTGTGGTTGCTAATTTAAATCTTCCTCTGGACTCCAATGTTGAAACTTGGGTAGGATTTTCCAAGCGTGTGACTGTTTGGCCTATTTTTATTCATATTAAATAGGAATTCCCCCTTCTCAGGTCCATGTTAATTCTTGATATAGATGTGACTTTTGTATTGTGTTCAAATACAAAAGGAGTTAGGAACATGTTGGATGAAGTATTGGCTATAATCCACAAATCTCACATTACTGACATTCCCAAATGCAGTTTTTGAGGCATGCAGGAGCCTTTGTGAGCAAACACTGAAATTCACAGATTAGTAAAACAGATATTGGGGCTTTCATGGGTATTTTAATTGGAGTAATTTACTGTGATCTGAAAATGCCTGAGATAAATAATATTTCTGCATTGACCATGGCCATAATCCAAAGGACTGCACAGACATATTCATGCTCCTGAGGAGATGTGTCACAGTGGCTGACCTCTTAGTGAGAACATTTTGAAAGGCAACTTTTATGGAGTAATGAGGACTTGCTATTTGGAAAAGGCAGTTATGAAATAAATCCCAGTTTCCTTATTTCTGAATGAGCGTGGCTGGTTTAGTTCCTTAAATCCCAGTCTATAAATCAAAACTTCAAGTCCATTGGAAAATAAACGCTATATAGCTAGGAAAAGAAACCATATGAAGCTGTCACATGAAGTCAGATTATTTGTCTGTTTTTATGGCTCTCCAGATTCTCCAGCAGAAGATCTCTCAAATCAACTGCTGCAGAACTCAATAGAAGGGAGGAGGAAGATGGATGTCAGGATGGGAATATGGACTTCCTACAGTGGAATGACTACATTTTTACCACTGAGATAACCAGTAAGTTCCTAGGACTGACACTAACAAGATTGCACCATTTAGCCTACTATTGTGAAGCATGATTGTCGGTACAGCAATATGAAGAGTCATTGTACCTAGGACAAAAAAGGTAAAACAAGACACTCCTAAAATATTGTCTTGTCACATTACAAAATGTTTTCTATTCACTAGGCAAATACCACTGACTGGGAAGTACCTGAGGGGCATTTAATCACTTATTTACGCAAGTTTGGTAACAGAAATATCACTGCCTCCTTCAGCATAATTCTTAGCCATTATAAATTATACACTGGAATGGAGGCATTACCTAGAAATACCACTTCCAGGTACCTTCATACAGGTTTTTGTTACTGCATCCAGTGAAAACCAGGAATAGACACTGTCTGAAACACAGGTTTTCCAAAATTATTTACAAATTGTTGTTTTGTACAGTTTGTTGTTATTACTCCTTCGCTTGATGCATCGTTGTGACTGGTTTGATTTCTTGCTTCCTTCCCTTCTTAAGAGTTACACAGTCACCGCAGGATACATTTTCTGTTCGCTATTACTGTGGGGATATGGTGACTGAACTGGCCTGTACCCGCTCTGCAGGCTATCCAGGAAAGGTGGGACAGAGGCCATGGGCATGGAGTCATGTTGCACAGCATAACCCACGTACTGGGGGTGCAAATACTGTCCTTGGTGAGGCACTATCTGTGTGGCCTGTTGGCAGTTCAGTACTGAAAAATTAGTTGGCATGTTGACATATACATTATTCATGGTCCCCTCTGGTAAACAGCAGTTAGCTTGTGATCTGGTGGGAGCAGCCCTGGCACCAGAGTTGGCACTTGAACTGGAACTGGCAGCTGTGCTTGATTGACGTGAGGATGATCCCCGGGAGGTGCTGGCACTTGGAATCATGGGGATTGTCTCCATTATCCTATTCCCTCCAGGAGCCCGGCTTTGTTGTGGTTCTTGCTTGGGTCGCAGACACCGGCAACAGCAAGCAGCCACAAGGGATCCCAGAATAATGAATGCCACGAAAACAGACCCCACAATAAGGAATGGCACATATATAGGCACTGCCAACAGAAAAGAAAAAACTTGTGAGGATTTGTTCTACCAGGGCAAAATATAGATTATACAATAGTGAGACGTTTTCAGCTACCTTTTCTTACCTCCAGCAAGACAAAAGAAAACAAGGAATTGGTAAAGCAGTCTTTCCAACCTATTGAAGTCCAAGTATGCTGAACTATAATTCCCAAAATAGCAAAGTCTGTGACTGATAATTAGGGGAATTCAATATACCTGGAAGCTTTGGAAAAACACTAGCTTTTTGAGTTGTTTCACAAAATGCAATCAGAAGTGTTGGCAAAAAATTGCAAGAAGCATGACAAGTTCTTCTCTCTTTCCCCCCCATCACTTATAACAACTGAAATAAATGACACATTATGCACTAATTTTCCTCTTACCATCCCATCTTATCGTTATTCCTGCTCTTCTTCTAGCTCATGGCAAGACACTTGCAGATCTTATTTCATCTTGACAACAACTCTGAAATAGCTTGATTTCTGAGCCTGGCTCAAAGTTAGCTCCATAATCAACTGGAGATCTGAACCCCAGTCCGCTAAATTCCACCGAACCTTACTTAGGTGGACATATCTATCTATCTATCTATCTATCTATCTATCTATCTATCTATCTATCTATCTATCTATCTATCTATCTATCTATCTATCTTATTTATTTATTTATTTATTGGTTCGGTTTATATGCCGCCCTATAATTACACTATTCAAAGCAAAGATTAATAGTTAATAGTGAGTTGTTTAAAAATGTATGTACTCATGTAGTATGATCTCTATTAATGTCAATGTGACTTGGACATACATACAATTAAGTTAGGTTGAGCCCCACTCCTCTTGAATCTAGAGAAATTGTACTTTGTTGTTACTAATCGGAAGGGGTTTCCCATTGTCTTCTTCCAATTCACCCTCATACAAGTGTAAATGAAATTAATCACTTCTTGTAATATGCAGTTTTTTTCAGGAATAGAAGAAATAAGGTCAAACACAGTTCCTGTTGACAACATAAACAGAGTTTATGCTTTGCATTTCTTCTTTTATTGATTTGCCAGTTTAGTGTATTTTATTTTAAATTCTTTTAGATGATTTCCTCCAAATACTAAGCCTGATTCCTTTCCAGATCATCCAAGGTTGGTTAGCTAGTTGAATAATGAATAATAATGAATAATTAGCCCCAATTATAATATAATTTCTGATGGATTCATCAGATATACATACATACATACATACATACATTCATACATTTCAGGAGAAAAATTGCTGGAAAGCAATTTAGAAAAAGTTTTTTGAGTAAGTCAAAAGGTTAGGTTTAGTTTTGGAATATAAATCATATAGGAAGGCATCTGGAATCATGCTATTTATTCATTCATAATATAGAAACACCTAAGTTAGAATGTTATATGAGCTGATATTATTTTTGGCTATTTTTGTTAAAGAGTTTCATTTTTCTAGAATTTTCTTTTTTAATTAGAAAATCAATATAAAATATTGTTAGTGAAAAGATAGGTCTCTTTGAGACAATTTAGTTGAGATGTTATAGGAAATGCTACCATCTAGAACAGGGATATCAAACTTACAGCCCACGGGACAGCTGATCACATGCTGGCCACGCTCAACCCCGGTTTAGTGAAGGGGTGGAAAATTGCGATACATCATGTGACAACAACATGGTGCTCTAAGTTTGACACCCCTGATCTAGAAAGTAATATTTGCTTTTCCTATAATGGGAGGATGGGGGGGATGAAAATTCAACATGTTATAAAATATAAAAGAGATTATGAGTGAGATTATTAATAACTTAATATATGTCTACTTTTTCTAGTTTTGCCAATGAGCCTGAGTCAATATAGCCGATGGCAAGAAAACCGAGGTTCAAAACATCTGGAGGGCATCAAGTTACCTGTCAAAGGTATAAAGTATATTGTTCTGGAATTTCTTCAATTTGGAGGGAATTATAAAAACAACTATTTTTAGCACTGATAAGCATGTTGTATAAATGTAAACTGAGACTAAGGAGAACCAATTTGGTGTAATGGTTAATGCACTAGGCTAGAAACTAGTAGATCATGAATTCTAATCCCACCTTATCCATGAAAGCCAGTTTCAGTGACTTGGGCTAGTCACTCTTATCTCAGCCACAGGAAGGAGGTAATAATAAACTACTTTCAGAATCTTGCCACTAAAACTGCAGGGACTCAACACTAACTTGAAGGTACAAAAAATATATGGAAGCAGGAAGTCTTAGCTCATGGTTACGGATCTATTCCCTAATCTAAACAAGGAGATTTGCTAGTTTCCTCCTAACATTTTTTACACCATTAGTTACCATCACACCCTATCACTGGATATTCCAAATATGGCTGAGGAGAGCTGTACCCCAAATATCAGGCTAAGGCAATTCATTAGAATGGAGTAGGGTAGGGTAGGGTAGGGTAGGGTAGGGTAGGGTAGAGTAGAGTAGAATAGAATAGAATAGAATAGAATAGAATAGAATAGAATAGAATAGAATAGAATAGAATAGAATAGAATAGAATAGAATAGAATAGAATAGAATTTTTTTATTGGCCAAGTATGATTGGACACACAAGGAATTTGTTTTGGTGCGTATGTTCTCAGTGTACATAAAAGAAATTAGTCCTCATTGTCCATATGCAAAATTAGAATGATCAAACAAGATTAAAATAATGTGTATGAAATGCTTTGATCATTGCAATGAGCTTGGTTAATGCTAAAATAAGTCTCATATGCAGTTAAGTAAATTATCCAAAACCCATATTAAGAGAATATTCTTATTTGAGCAACAGAAGATTCACAACATAGTTCCAGGTTCCAGTTCCAGTTCAATAATACTTCCAACACTGTTTACTATTCTACTATTCTACTATTATGCTATTCAAAATGTAGTTGGCTACTTTATGGCTTATTGTGCCCTGTGATCATAGCATTAATTAAGGAAGATGATTAAAATCTGGAGGAAGGGTAGGAATTAGAACATGTTACTGTTAATATTTGGGACATTTTTGTTTAATATTTGGTTACATTTTAATCCATGGAAACTGTGCCGTATCAGTTTCTGACATGCTTTTAGGTTGCTCTGAGAATTCTCACAAAAATTGTTGAAAAGTGGAGCCAATAATAACAGGTCCTTTGGTTTTTGAAGAGTAAAATTTAACCTGAAACAAGAAAGTTTGCAATTATTATGTAAAGTTTTGTTCCAGCTACATAGAGCTTCAGCATTACTTTTGTACTTTCTTTTTGGTATTCAATAAGGCTGCTATTCTGGATTTTTTATTTTTTGCTTATTTGTTTATTTTCAGGTAAACATTGAATGTCCATGAATAAAAAGAGAAAAACCTGGAAGAGGGACCCCCCCACGCGCACCCCCCAAAAGATGTTTCTATCTGAGACCCTCTATCCCAACTTTCAGCAAACATGGTTATCTTCCAACTGTGGAGGAATAAAAATTCTTAAACCAATTTGTTGATGATGAAACATTTGATTGATCAACAAACTCTTGACTCAGACCTCCAGAACAATCAGGTCCCAAGAATATCAATTTTCTTCTGTGCCTAGTTACCTAACAGTAATAGGATGACCTTAACCAGGCTTACAAAATAAACTCAGTCAGGCTTAGTTAATATTTTGATGGGACACCATCAAGGAATGTATACTGCTTCCATATGATTGCCAACCGTACAGAGTTAGAATTAGGGTTAGAGTCAAGATTTACGTATGGGATATTGGTGGCTTAATGTGAGATCTCTGTGAAACTGCTAGCAACTGGAACTGTGGAAGGCATCATCGCTGAGAAAAAAACACAGTTGTTTAAAGCAGGGGTCCTCAACCCCCAGTCAGGATGGGTAGAGAGAAAGTAATTGGTGCTAAGTGAAGTTTCTGTGGCTGAAGGAGGATTAAAACCTGATTTCTCAACTTTTGTCCAACCATACCTTAACCAACATACCACAACAGTTAATTACAATGTTATGTCATAGCTAGCTTCTGCTTAAAAGTGTCCCACTCCAAATATCCATGATTTTTACTGTCTATTGTATTCATAATTAAACTGCACAATCCAGCAAGGGAGCATTCTTTTATATCTATGCCCTAACAGGATATTACTCTTTTGGATTTTATCTTCTTCTAGTTTATTGACAAGTTGTTTTTCACTTTATTTTCTTAAAAACTAAAAGAAACCCTCCCACCATCACTTCTTTGACAATATGCAGTTTACCATACCGATCATTAATATTACAGCAAACACTGTGGCATCCTCATGTGATCAAAATTTGGGCATTTGGCAACCAACATGCATTTACGAAATGTATTTACAATAGTTGCAGCATCCTGGGTTTCTGTGATCACATGTGTGACTTTCCCACTGGCAAAGCCAGTTTTCAAACAAACAAAGCCAATTCACTTAATAACCATGCAGTTCACTTAATTTCAGGTGTGAAAGACCAGATCCACAAGTGAAGATTCAATTAACCTGATTTATTACTAAATTCCTACCCACAGGTACCTGCTTAGAGTTAGATATGGGTCAACAGCATTGAAGGGAAGGTTGGACTTTGTCCGCTTGTGGTTACCTAGGGATTCTAGGCTGATTACCCCTTTTCATTCTGCCCCTCAAGGTTATGCCATCTCTTCTTGTACACATAGCAACTTCAGTGATTCACTTAACCAGGGCAAAAAAGACCATAAAATTGGGTGCCTTGTTTAGCAACAGAAATTCTGGTCCCAATTGTGATCATAAATTGAAGATTACCTGTACTTTAAATATATATTCCAGTCTGTTTCCAGTTGGATAGTTCAATAAGCTCTTAACTGCATTTTTGCTAAAAAATCAGGGGATGGCAACAGATCTTATACATACTAAAAATTAATTGGGTAAAATGGTACTAACTCCCAACTAAATTATAGGCATTTAAAACCTAGATATCATCAACTCAATTAGTTGCCACTGGTTGTGTGCTTATACCTATGAAAACCTTATCATGTCTTTTTTTATGACTCTACCTTTTCCTGCTCTTAGCCCACAAAATTATAGTAATGTTTTCAGGTGCCTTCTGCACCGTGATATTCTACATGTTGTTGAATTATCATGCATTGCTCAACCCTGAAACTTAAGTTTTGTTCCTTATACCATCCGTCTTGTCAAGTCGCATGATTCTGATTTTTTTGCCATGTATGTGTATACATTCAAAATAGACTATGATGTTTCTCTGTGTCGTGTGTGTGTGTGTGTGTGTGTGTGTGTGTGTGTGTGTATGCATAATGGTTATCCTTTGAGAATGCAATGAAATGCATGCTGATTAGTGTACATTTAAAGTAACAATAAATATTCTATTCTATTCCTATTCTATTCTTATTCCTATTCCATTCTATTCTTCTATTCTAAAGCCATTTATTGCAATTCAGAAAACATCCCAAAACTGATTTCTCACACTGAAAAGTCTGCTGAGTTTAAGTGTTGTAGAGTGTACAGACTGTTTTCTTGAGTTATTTGGTTCACAAAAGTTTAGGAGCAATAAATAATGAGGACACTGACAGATCAAAGCAATAAATGGAGCTTTGTATGTGAATGGATGATGTTTTTTTATGCATTGTGGTGATGGTACAATAATTTTAAGGGATTTTGAGGGAAGCAGCTTTGAAAAACTTTTCTGGAAGTTTCAAAAAGTTTCACAGGTGGGATACTTGTAGATATACACCACAAGAGGCTTGTTTTGAAACTACTTTTCTTAAACTTTAAACAAAGGCAAGTACTGTATAAAAGAATTCCTGAACTTAGAATAACTATACAAATATTAGCATTGAGTGTGTTTGGCAGAATGCTCTAAACTTCTCTTGCTATGTGATTGAATACAAAGAAACTAAATAAAATGCATTTCAATTTAAAGTACATGTTTTCCATCTCATCAATGATACCCATATGCATGCAAATAACTCAAGCACTTTCTGTTAAATGAAAGCCTGTTCTTAAATCACTTTCAAGTTCTCTACATTTAATAACTTGAGTTTTTTTTAAACAGTATCATTTGCACATTCCATTCAGAAATTATAATTTTTGTGCCACAACAAATACATGTGATATGAATTATGAGCCCATACAAGGCTCTGGATATTCTCCATATCCAGAGTCTTACATGGGGTCTTACTGCTGAATCAGGTAAACAGGTAGATCTGCTTTGCCTGCAATACCCCATCCTGAGCCCCAAGGTGGAGCTAGAACTGGATCTAAACCCTGAAGTCCAAGATCCCCAAAGAGAATCAAGGAGCAGAGGAGAAGCAGGATAATCCGGATCTGGCATTAGCAACCAGCCTGAAACATCCAAATTATTCAACAAATTAAGAATCCCAGATTGGGTGACTGGGCAAGTACCAGTGACGAATAACAGAATATGATGGGTACTCGTCATATTTCTTTATTATTGGAAATAATATATTCCATAATAAATGCATATTCCAAAGCAATATGGTGCTGATTGCAGTAAGCCATAACATGACTAATGCAGGTAGTATTAGGTACAGTCCTCGACTTACAACAATTCATTTAGTGACTGTTTGAAGTTACAGCAGCACTGAAAACAGTGATTTATGAAGAGTGATTTATGAACCCTAGCAGCATCTCCATGGTCATCAAAATCCAGATGTTTCAAAATTTATGACGGTTGCAATGTCCCAGGGTCATGTGATCCCTTTGTGACCTCTCACAAGCAAAGTCAATTGGGAAGCCAGATTCACTTAACAACCAGTTACTAACTGAACAACTGCAGTGATTCACTTAACAACCGCGGCCAGACAGGTCATAAAGTGGGGGCAAACTTAACAACTCTCTCGCTTAGCAACAAAACTTTTGGGCTCAGTTGTGGTCATAAATTGAGGACTACCTAAACACAGGCTATCTAAAAGAAATACAGGTAGTCCTCGACCTATGAGCACAATTGAGCCCAACATTTCTGTTGTTAAGTGAGACATTTGTTAAGTGAGGTTTGCTCCGTTGTATGAACATTCTTGCCACATTTGTTAAGTGAATCTGGCTTCCCCCATTGACTTTGCTTGTCACAAAAGGCAATCACATGATCCTTGGACACAGCAACAGTGATAAATATGAACCAGTGTGCCAAGGGTGTGAATTTTGATCACATGATCATGGGGACACTGCAAAGTGTACACTGAGAGCGTATGCACCAAGACAAATTCCTTGTGTGTCCAATCACATTTGGCCAATAAAGAATCCTATTCTATTCTATTCTATGATCATGGGGACAGTGCCAGTGGTGGGTTCTTCCCGGTTCCGCCAAGCCGGTAGCGGTGATGATATGACGTCACTGAACCGGTTCTGCCCTCCCTGCTCCTCCCCCCGCATTATTCTTACCTTTTATTTGGCCCCACCCCCAATCTATTGCTGCCTCCTGGGTCCCAGCTGATGGGCTATAAGGAAAAAAACTGTTTAAAGGGGGCTTCAAAGGGCCGCCCTACAGCTGATCAGTGTTAAAAGGCAGTGTGGTGGTAGACTGGTGCCTCCAAAAACAAATGAGTAGACCGGTACAGCTCTGCAAGCAGTTAAAAGCCTGGTAGACCAGTACCTCTGCTAAATCCTAAAGAATGGTCACATGACCATCAAGCCACGCCCACAGAACCGGTAGTAAAGAAAATTAGAGCCCACCCCTGGACACTGCAAAGGTTGTAACTGTGAAAAAACGGTCACAAGTCACTTTTCAGTGCCCTTGTAAGTTCGAACGGTCATTAAAGAAACTGTTGTAACTCGAGAACTACCTGGAGCACAAGCATCAAATCCAAAGGGAAAAAAGGGGTAACTTGAGGGAGAGTTGAATGGGAGAAAAGCGGTGCAATGGTGGGAGTATCAGGTTCCTTACCTGCCGCGCTGTCTGGCAGGTCTTTGTCAGGCCGGCCGTGCTCGGCTCCGCCGTGTTGCCGGTCGTTGTCGCACATGCCCTGATCCAGGCGGACCTCCGGGCGAGAGCAGCAGTAGCGAAGCGCGCAGGTGCCGCAGCAAATGGTGGCGTCGCTGTCGTCGAAATGCTCCGGACACTGGAAACCTTCCCGCCACGACGTCCCATCCTGCCAGCCGTGGCAATACTCGCCGCTAGCCAGCGTCCCTCGCGCCCTCAGCCCGACCAGTAGCAGCAGCAGAAGCCGCCCTCCCGGCGCCGCCAGCAGCTGCCAACGCCGGCCCCGCCACATGGCACCGCGAGGTGGGGTGGGGAGGTGCCGCGGCGGCTCCTGCCCCTGATTCGGAGGCTCCGTCAAGGATGCAAGCCCCCCCCGTCCCGCTCTCGCTCTCTCTCTTCTGGCTGCCTGGATTGACACAGGCAGCGGCCACAGAAGTTCGTGCGCCCGCGCGCGCGAGAGCAAGAAAAGAGGGGAAAATTTCGAGAGACAGAAGCCGGCCTGAGGAAGGCGGGCTCCGCTGGGAAGTCAGGCGTAGCGTGCCAAGGGGGCGTAGTGGGGGGGCTGCTGCTGCTAATAGACGACCCCTGAAGTAAGTGCCAACTGGTTGTCACCTCGCTGCAGCAACTGGCTAGGAAGAGTGTGTGTGTGTGTGTGTGTTTGTGTGTCTCTCCCTGTGAGGGAGAGGAGGGGGAGGCCAAAAGGACAAGATAAAGCGCCTGCGGTCTGCCGAAGGGTTTGCGGCTGAGGTAAACAGCCCCGCAGTCCACCCGCTCCTGGCTGGCACCAAGCGGAGGAGGCGGAGAAGCCCTGTGGGAATCCAAAGCCGTCTCTTCAGGTTTCTCAAAGTCACTTGGCGACGCCGGGTCTTTCAGCCCCACTTGGTCGGCCCGCGAACTCTTGGCCGTCGAGGAACTTCGGCATCTTCTTTGTCACGAAGTCCGAGGGAGACCGGCGCAGACGCTGGGAAACGCGGGCGAGACTAACGGGGAAGCCCGAGAGACGCAGCTCGACGAAGCTACACCGCTATCCCCAGCCGTGTGAGTTGGGAAAAACGCCGTCGCTTTGGCCGGGAAGGTATTGAGCCCGAGACGACGAGCGAGAGCCCCTCTTAACAAACGGAAAGGCAGGGAAGGCGAGCTTGGGGCCGTCGCCCCCAGACCAACGAGACTGAGCAAAGGACTCCGGGAACCATAACACGCCCGGAGATCCCTCGGTGCGCGGGGCTGGCGGAGATCGGGGGAAGGGGGCTGAGGGGCCCACCCGGCGAGAGACACCGCCGTCCCCTTCCACACGCGCGCCCGGCTTTCCCCTCGCACCCGCTGCAGCAGCAGCTTCTCAGCCCCTCTTAAGTCCGGAGAGTCCCCATATCCGAAAGTCGGGATCCCGGTCGAACTCCTTTATGCCCATGGAGGAGCTTCATGGAAACGTCCAGCAGCTGGAATAAGCGGTTGGAAAAGAGCCCCGTTGGAGCGCAATCTCCCGCTCCGCCTCTCTTCTTCCCCGCCGTGCCCCGCACGGTTCCCAATTGACCGCTGTTTTCTTCTGGCTTGGAGAGGCGAGCAAGGAGCCCGGACGCAGCTCTCGCCGGTACTTTTCTACCCAAGGACGCACTTTGCCTTCCGATCCTCCTCCCAGCCAGGCGATGGCAAAAACTCCTAGCGGAGGTTCCCGATGCCGGCAGCAGCCGCAGGAGCTACTGGTGGTGCGCGCGGATCTCTTTCGCTCCCTCGCGTTCTCTGTTGTTATTATAGGCAGCCCGATGCTCTCCAGGCGCGCATGCGCCCTAAGAATCGCCGCTCGCTCTCCCTTTCGCTGAGAAAGGAGTGGGTTTTTTTTTTTTTTAATGCTCTTTTCACCTCCGCCGAGCCGGGCGATTGGCTCACTCCCCCTCCCACCACCCACCACCCAAAGACCCGGGGAAGGAGGAGTGGGGAGAGGAAGAGCAGCCGGTGGGATTGCAAAAGCAGCGGCGGCTTTCTCAAAAGAGATGGAGGTTGATAGCCTTCCAAGGATTTCGGGTTAAACCACGTGCTCTCGTGTTGCGTTGCTGTTGAAATCCAAAGGTGCTTTATTTTTGTCCCCAAGAGGCAACTGGACTTTCAAGAGCTGGTTGACTGAGAATCTCCATGGATATTTGCATGGGGAAAGGAAGAGTTTATACTTTACATAAATGACCTTTGCGATCATATTATAAGCAACAGGGTGCTCTTTGCTGATGATGTAAAACTATTCAACACCACCCACAATACTGCTACTCTACAAAAAGACCTTGACTATCTGTCAGAATGGTCAAATAATTGGCAACTCCAAATCTCAACCAACAAATGCTCTGTCTTACACATTGGCAAAAAAAAAAAAAAATCAGAACACAAAATATATGGATATGACCTGGTAGTTGACCCTCACTCTGTCAAGGACCTTGGAGTACTCATCTCAAACAATCTAAGTGCCAGAGCTCACTGTAACAGCATTGCATTAAAAGTTGTTAACCTAATCTTGCGTAGCTGCTTCTCTGGTAATATTGTACTACTAACTAGAGTATACAAAACATTTGCTAGACCTATTCTCGAAAATATAGCTCATCTGTCTGGAACCCGCACTGTATATCAGACATTAATACAATTGAGAGAGTCCAGAAATATTTCACGAGAAGAGTCCTCCATTCCTCTACCCGCAATAGAATACCTTATGCCGCCAGACTTGAAATTTTGGGCTTAGACAACTTAGAACTACGGTGCCTTCGGTCTGACCTAAGCGTAGTACATAAAATTATCTGCTACAATGTCCTACCTGTCAATGACTACTTCAGCTTCAACCACAACAATACACGAGCAAACAATAGATACAAACTTAAAGTGAACCGCTCCAAACTCGATTGCAGAAAATACGACTTCAGCAACAGAGTGGTCAATGCCTGGAATGCACTACTTGACTCTGTTGTTACGTACTCAAACCCCCAAAACTTTAACTTTAAACTGTCTACCGTGGACCTCACCCCATTCCTAAGAGGTCTGTAAGGAGGCGTGCATAAGCACACCAGTGTGCCTACCATCCCTGTCCTAATGTTCCCTTTTTTAAGGGTCATCGGCCTCTTGCTCTGGCTACACTCCCTTCCCACAGCTTGGTAGATTGGAAGAAGAAATTGCAATCTGCTATGCTACCTTCGTGCTTCCCGATCGACCACCTGTGGGCTTCACTGGGTAGAAGACTCGGCCCACGATGAGGAAAAAGTGGGCGCTCATTCATTCTTTCTGCTGCTATCAAGGGTGAGTTACTCAAGCTGATTTTGGCAACTGATGCTGACCAGGAGTGGGCAACTATGGCCTTTTTACAACCTGTGGACTTCAACTCTCATGTTGGCTCAGGAATACTGGGAGTTGAAGTCCACAAGTTGCAAAGGAGTCATAATTGCTGATCCTGTGTTGGACTATAACTCCTATTCAGTGGTGGGATTCAGCCAGTTCACACCACATAGGAAAACTGTAAAATGTCAAAAGTGTAACATTATGTTGTTTATATGTGTATAATAATTTTCTTGTAATTTTAGAAATAAGGGCTGTAATTTAGATAGAAATACAGTAATGTAATATTTTACCAGTGGTGGGATTCAGCCAGTTTGCACCACTTCGGGAGAACCGATTGTTAACTTTCTGAGCAGTTTGGCAAACTGGTTGTTGGAAGAAATCATTAGGGCAGAGAACCAGTTGTTAAATTATTTGAATCCCACACTGCTCCTTTTACCTCTACCAGTCAAGCCAGTAATGGAGGTTGTAATCTCTCAAACCTAGAGAGCACCTTGAATAGGGCCGGTTTACAAACATCATTTGTAATCATTCCTATCACCCATCTCCTCCCACTTATGACTGCATGACTGTAACCTTGTTACTGGTATCCTTACGATTTATATTGATGGTTTCCTAATATGATTTGATTGCTTATTTGTTCCCTATGATGATCATTAAGTGTTGTACCTTACGATTCTTGATGAATGTATCTTTTCTTTTATGTACACTAAGAGCATATGCACCAAAGACAAATTCCTTGTGTGTCCAATCACACTTGGCCAATAAAGAATCCTATTCTATTCTATTCTATTCTATTCTATTCTATTCTATTCTATTCTATTCTATTCTATTCTATTCTATTCTACTCTACTCTACTCTACTCCTACCCTACCTTACCCTACCCTACCCTACCCTACCCTTCCCTTCCCTTCCCTTCCCTTCCCTTCCACTCCACTCCACTCCACTCCACTCCACTCCACTCCACTCCACTCTACTCTACTTCTACCCTACCCTACCCTACCCTACCCTACCATTCCATTCCATTCTATTCTATTCTATTCTGCACAGTCTTCATCTTCCTTCTTGGGCTTGTCTCGCCTAAGTAGGGATTTCACAGAGTACCACAGTGAAGCTTTGGTCCAGTAGTAGGGTGTCAACCCAGCAAACCACAACCCTGTTGTCCAATGTCATCCAGAACAACAGGTGAGAGCAGAAGCCAAGGAGGCTCCTTGTGAAAGGAACATGAGTCCAGAGTGCCTGTTTGAAAGAATACACAAAAGGAACCAATGGAGGGGCTGTGATCACATCAAACTGAGTGAAATATGGGGAAGAATTGGGCTGTGAATATGATTGCTTCTCTAGTGGCTACTGATTCGGAAACGGTGAACATGAGGCAGTTCTAAGTATGGCATGGACCTGATCTATCCATCTATCTGTGGATGGATCTGATTTATCTATCTGTGTTGCTTTCTGTCCTCCCTACCTGCCCCCAAAATAGCTGCCAGAAATGACAAATTCCTGGTTGGGGCACCCTTCACATTTTTCCAACTTCTGCAATAAATCAAGAAAAGGGAGATACTGCAGCTATGTTTACTATTTGATTGCTTCTCAGCAGTAACAGCTGCTAAGTAGCTTCAAAATAAACAAGAGTGTGTTAAGCAGGATTACTCCCTGCATAGTGTTTTATGTAATTTAACTCTGTGTGTACATCCATGCCCCAAAGATGTGCAAACCAATTAAATGGGAAAGATAACACAAGTGCTTTTTCTTTAATCAACACAAATATCTGTGGTTTCTAGAACAGTTCTGCCAAGTTTAATTTGCTTTAATGGAAAAGCACAGGAAATATATTGCAAGTTGATATTATTTGCTTAAAGGTTTGTTCAGAGAGCACCACAGTTCAAGTATTCTCTTCTATCAGTATTTGCTTTATTTAGAATCTGCTTTGTAAAGCATAACAAAAAAAGGTGTTCTTGTAAAACAAGATTCTCTACTCCAAAGGTGGGCAGAAAGTAGTTCAGAGTTAGTAGAATAGTTGCAGAATTAGGAACTCCTAAAGTGCCTTTTGTATTTAAGAAAATAAAATAAACCCA